ATGGACGGGAGAGGACGTGTGTGTGTGTGTGTGTGTGTGTGTGTGTGTGTGTGTGTGTGTGTGTGTGTGTGTGTGTGCTACCTGGCTGTGAATCAGTATCAAGACGAAGTTCATTAAAAGTTTGTTCCTCTAGAGGAGACTTGACTTGTACGTCTGCTACAAATTCTGTAACAAGAGCGATGATGATGATGATGATGATGATGATGATGATGATGATGATGATGATAATGACGACCAATTAGTCCTTTTCAGCCTGCTCTTCGCGGCAAACTGCCAGCACTTGGAGTTTGACTGAAGGCAGGCTGGTGTAATGCGGTAATGAGTGTGCGTCCAGTGATGTCACCATGGCAACACGGCTCCTTGCGGTCAAATGTTGGAGGTCCAAAGTCTTCACACACACTCTCTCACACACACACATACACAGTCTTCTACTGTGTATACTGTCGACAGAATCAATTCACTAACATGTAGAACGTCGTCAAGACAAGGATGACGATGACGATGATTTTATTTCAAACAAACCCTGATTTGAAACACGAACTGTAGTTGTGATTTTTCATTCTTATAAAAATATCAGTCCAATGTTTTTCCTTTGGGAGTGTCGTCTCGAACGGTGACAGGAGTGACCCAGCATTTTTTTTTTTTTGATGCGTGTTTGAGGACGGCGCTTAAATGAATAATTGAGAGCCCGTTCTCTTGTCAGTGCGTTACAGGGCATCTTTGATTCAAACACACCAGGACGACGTTTTTTTCTCCGAACATCCTCACGCTCCCCTCCCGTCACTTCAACTTTTCAAATCGGGAAACATCTCTTCCACGGTGATGATGAGAACAGGAAAGCTTCTTCAGGAAGACGCCGTCAAACCGGGACGCTCGTGTTGACAAAGAGCTCCATTAACAAGAGACCACCAGCGCAACAACAGCAAGAGAAACGACACCAATCAACAAACTTAAACACTGACAACAATAAACACTAAAAACAGCAAGAACAGAGAATCGGACGGTGATATCGTTATGCATCATTTCATCAGCGATTCCGCCACAAAACATGATTGAGAGTGCCCCCCCGGATGCGTGCGAAAGGTGAAGTCGCGCACTTCTTTGCTGTTTCTTTCATCTCTGATCCTGCGCGCTCATGTTTCATTTCCATCGGAAGCCCTGGAGTTGATTTGTCTTCCTTCCAGACAAACGGAAAACAAACAAACAGACGGCCCAGCATTTGGTTTGGTTTCCTCTTCCGCCGCTGATGCGTTGGCGGAGTAAACAAGAAGCCTTAATGAAATCTTTCATCAGCAGCTGACTGGCCGCTGGGGACCGCCGCCGACTAATGCGCCAATTCATTATGAAAATGACTTAGGAGACGCTGCTTCCGGGCGGCGGCGGCCATTACGCGCCCCCCCCCCCCGCACTGATTGCATTATGGCGGCGAAATAAGCGAGCCGCGGCGCGAGCGAGTGAGATGTTGCGGATCAGCTGATGATGTCAACCCAAATGACACAACACATGAAATATTCGAGACAAGAGAAGAGCGGTGCGTCAAATGTATTCATCCTCAGGCGCTGGTCTTGTCTCGGACCCCCCGAGGGACGACAGTGAACCGGGATTATCGTGGTTTGACTTGCGCCGACTTTTAAGTGATCATTTTGTAATTGATTTGACAGTGTCCAGGCAAATCCGAGAGTCTAATAATAGTACTGCAGCTCACTGAGCGATTGTGACCGTCTCCTTCACGTATGTCTGTATTATACTGCCCCCAGGTGGCCAAGGAGTGCGCACCAAAGGGAGCAGCACAGTGTCCATTTCAGTTGAAGCACTCATCCACTCTCCACACCGCTTATACTGGACAGCGTCATGGTGGGGATGCCAAAGCCTAACCCAGCTGACTTCGGGCAAAAAAGGCGGACCACACCCTAAACTGGTCGCCAGTAAGTCGCAGGGCGCGTATAGAGACAAACAAGTACATACACGCCGCCAGTGAATTGGAACTGCTGCCACGCTGCCCGCGCACACAAGTCAGCCGAGTGGACCAAGACACCATTTCGCCACTCAGCAAAAAAATCAAAAATTGTTTATTTACATCCATCCATCTGTGATTTTTCGGTACCGCTTATCCTCACTACAGCAAATGAGTTAAACGTTCTTGCTCGTGTCCCATTTTCTTTCTCTGGGCGTCGTTCTGGCTCCAAAGAAAGCGATCAAGGCAACAGACGCATCTCAAAGAACGAAAAGGGATTTTATTTTTTCTTGTTAGTTTTTTTTTTTTTTTTTTTCTGGCAGACGTTATAAAAGAGAGAGTTTAAATCCCTCGCGCCCCTCCCTTATTGAGTTCTGCTGGTTGTAGGTTACATGAATGTTGGAAAAACTTTTTTTTTTTCTTTTGATGTAACAAAAAGCCGCCTTTTCATATGCGCTGTGTACCGTATTATCTATGCGCATATTTGACGAGCATGCAAATAAAAAATGACTGAGGCTGCCAAAGGGGAGAGAAAAAAAAAAGGTTTGCCGTTTGAGGTCAGAAAAAAGTACTGTACTAGTTGATCATGATTCTTAGCCAGGTTTTGTGTTTCGAGCCGACTGGAACTCTTTCAGGTCAGATCTAATCGACTCCTTGCTCTTTTTATTCCCAGTTTTTAGAAAGCAATAAATTATTTCCCAGAGGTCTCACTGAGACAAACTCAGACATCTGTAAGAGTTGAGAGTGAATAGGAAAAACACTCCACAGGGCAACAACAACAACAAAAAGACGGGAGCTACAAGAGATTCTCAAGCTGTAGTATCCAATTAGAGACCCGCATCACGTTTGTAAACAAACAGTCGACTCTAAAAAAAAAATGGATTTGCTAGTTGGCTCTCTTGTTTTTAGGCGGAGGCCATGATCCGCCTGCACGCGCAATGACAAAAACTTTAACTTGTTTGACAATGACGTGTCGCCAATCTGTCTGGGATACCAAAAATTCATATTTGATAAGAATCGGACAAAATGTCGAATGGGGTTTTCCTTAGATGACAGCATTTAATTGCATTTATTGACTTGCGGGTTTTGGGTTGCATGTATGATCTCACTTTCGGAGGTCGGGTTGCCGGACCTTGCGAAATAGACACGGCGTCTCATGTATCGGATGGTCTTTAACGCTCTATGGTGCCCCTAGTGGCCTGTTTTTGTAGTTAAAACACGTTCAATCAAGACTGAGCATTGCTGTTGGAAGTTAGCTTGTCATCACGCTGCATCTCAAGCTTTTTTTTCCAGTAAAAGGACGACAGCAAAAGTAGGTTGGGATTTCAAAATGAAAAGAAGTCATCCTCAGAAACAAAAAGAACGAGAGAGACTGCGAGAGTAGTTAATAAATCAAGAAACACGGATGAGAGTCAGCATCTCCTGTTTGGTGTCTCGGCTTGCAGCGAGGTCATGAATATTTGATGACATCATTTTGGGCTGTCAAGTCACATGATAAGACGCATTCATGCTATTGATTAATGGCCCGGGGCGCACTTATTGTCTTACGGTGTCACAAACGTGTTGCTACTCCGCGTCCTTCATTAATTATGCAGCACATAAATCATCAAATATAAAAGCTATTTTCTGTACGTGACGGAAGAAGAATCGGTTAGGATCGGCATCACGAAGCTTCCGCTGGAACGTGAATTCCAATTTATTTCGCAGGGTTGCCCATTTTCACTCAAGCACGACTCTTTTGTTTGACTTAATTATGAAGATGAGATTCTTGCTTGCTAAAAATGGAGAGTACATGAAGTTAATTGAAAACTCCAAGTTAGTTCAAAAAAAAAAAAATGGAATAGGATAATTGAAAACTCAAAACCGTCTGATGCTTACTAAAAACGCACAGTTGAGTCATAGAAAACAAAAAAATGACACGATAAGGTGGCGTGGTGGTTGAAAACAATTCATTCATTGATTTATTTGAGAGATTTAGTTTCCATGGATGGAGCGAACGAACAACTTTCCAGCAAAACTTTCCACCAACTTTGTCTCCAGCAGCCAACGCCATCATTCTGCTGAAATGAGTAAAGCGCTAGCTCAGCTAACAGATGGTTAGCGCATTCCATTTAAAGGTTCACCAATCTCAAAGTTGAGATGCGATCGAGTCGGCATTTGTGCTCCAAATGCTTGAATAACTCGGGCAGGGTAACACCACCCCTCCCCGCCCGACATCCTCAGGCGGGGCAATCGAGATCCGTTGAAATAAATAGTGCGCATGTTGACACTTTAATTTGAGCGTCGCTCATTCGATGAAGTTGCGGCGTAAGCGTTTGTCAGGCCCGGACCGCGAGGCGCTAACATCTTGATGGAACAAACCCGATCGATAGCAATAGCGTTCCGCTTCGTTGACTCTTCGCGCCGAGCGCCTGACGGCAAGCTAATTAGCGAGGTAATGGAGTGAACCCTTTGTGATAGGGCGGACGGAGCTCCTTGCGATAAAGCCGCTGATTTTTTCCGGCGTCTCAACGCCACTTTTAACCGCTGCGCTTCAGGAACACTTCGTTAGCGGGATGATTAGTCCCGTTGTTGGGACGCCGCAGGAACAGGTACGCAGTTGAAAAAGCTAAAAAGCTAAATAACGCAAATCCACACTGTGACCCTTGTAAAATAATTAGGAAAAAGTCAATCAAATAAAGGTTGTCACACGTTGAAGACATTTGCGAGGTTCTGAGCAAAAGAATAAAGTCACTCTGTTCCTGTTCCTGGTGCAGAACAGGCACCATCGTATATGTGTGTGTGTGTGTGAATGTGCGTTTAACAATGTGTGAGTTTGAGTGTCGTTTTTCTGCAGGTTCCATGTAAGGAGGAGTTTAATGAAAGCTGCTGGTTGCTCCGATGGAACTAATTGCGCTTCCTTAAAAACGCGGCTCGGCGCTGCATCCGTCTTGATTTGCCTCAGTAAGCAGCCGGAAGCCATTTCACGGAATTAATAGATGTGAGGCCCGCAGACCGCATCAACCAGCGGGAATCGGCGCCTCCATTAGAGCGCCCGGCACTTTGTTAAATGCAACGAAGGCGCAAAGAGCATCAGTTAAATGGTGACATCACCAGTTATGTACGGTCCCACCCCACTGTGGTGACGGACTCCTAACTGTGACATCCACCGAATTGTACTGCGGTGACTGATGTGCCGTATTAACATCAAAGACTCATTTCTGCTGCAGTGACTGATTATTCACAATATTGACAAGGAAGATGTGCGGACTGCATATCGCTGACATGCACGATTAGCTCAATGACTTTGAGTTCATTATTTTTCCCCCCCATATCCCACTGTTGATTTTGTCCATCTTTATCACCAACACACACATTGGCAGAGGTGAGGTGCAAACGACTCCATAGAGGCATTGAGACTGTAACGGGTTTTATGATAAACAAGTCTTCATTTAAAAAAAAAAAAAAAGAGTACAAGACAAAAGCGCCGCAGGGATTATTCAAGGTCTTGTCTAATCCAGTGAAGATTGTTTACGGCCAATGCTAAAAGCCTGCAGAAGAAGAAGGAGAAGGAGAACAAAAATAAACTTTTTCTCGTCATCCTTGTGATGGATTTTTATAAAAGAGTAACTGGCAAGGAATAAATGCATTAAACATTTTGTGTACGTGACCAAGCAATGAAAGGGCTTGATCGTACTATTTGAATTCTGTGGATAATTTCTATTGGCCATATTTGTTTGAAACCAATCACTGTTGATTTAAAGAGGGTTTTTTTTTTTTTTTTCATTTACGGTGCTAAAGAGGGCCTTGGCTGTTATGTCAAGCGGCTGAGAAAACCATTTGTAAGTATACTTTAAAATATCAAGCAAAATTGCTTGAAGGGCTGAACTGGAGCTACGATGATTCATGACGGAAGGGAAGAGCTTCAGAACTTAAACTTGCTTCACCTAAGAAGTAAACAGTCCTCCCGGCAGGTGGAATTCACCTCTCCTGCCCTCCTTCTACGAGCGTAGACTCGCGCGTGCTGCTTTCTGATGGGTAGGCAAGTAGCGACATCTACAGACTTCCGTGGGAACTGCACATTAAGTTCTACTCGTGCACGGTACACATCAAGCGTGTCCGAACTCTGGTATGGGGCCCGCTGACCATTTTTCGGCGCCCCCGCATCATGTACTAAAAATGACATGTCCTGCAATGCTAGTTTCAAAAAAAATAGTCCAAAGAGTAAGAAGGGAATGTGAAATAATAGCTGCCACCGCCACTCCTAATACACTTTGCTAGATATGCAAAGATACAAATAAAATATTTGTGACAAAAATAATAACACAGTTTCTCTTCAAAACACGATGGTGAATAAAGACAATTCCGTTTTAAAAGCAGAAAGTTTTTCTTGCACTTTCTGCACTGTGTCAAGTCCGACGGTTTTTAAAAATGGCCAGCTTATGACAAATGGCTCTTGTTTTGGTTCTGGGAACTGGAGGCAGTTCAGTGCAGAGGTGGGTCCAGTCTGTTGGGATACAGGGGCCAAGGCCACGCCCAAAATCGTTTTTAACAGAAAGCAGTTATGTTGTCGTTTAAAAAAAATATATATTAACAATCCACCTCAAAAAGTAACACGAGAATTACGGCAAACAAAGAGAACAGACTTTTCAAAAGTCACTTGTAACGAGAAGACAGACAAACCATTCCGCTCCACATTGTCTAAAGAGGACATTTCATCCACTGTATAAGCGGATTTCCCTCAAATGCTCAAGTTGTGACGGGGTCACGGGATGGGAGAAGGAAAAGTTGCTAATCGAGCAGCATGCTAACCAAGCCGAGTGGGAGGCTGAATCTAATATGATTGCTTTGTATGCTAACTTAGCAGCTTAGCATGCTCTGAAGCTAGCAACGCTTCTTCCATTTGTCACCTGTCCATCAACACGGTCACCCACAGCAATGCTGGTTTCCTTGTGTTTTCCCACAGCAAATACAAAGCACACGCTAGTGACCCCATCAGCAATGACGAATATCGTAACGGTTGTAACGCGACGACGTTAAAAGGTAATGTGTGAACATGTCAGCTCAAGCGAAAATATTTGTGTGCGGGCGTGGAATGAAGTATGAATGTTTGCATTGGGCTTTAATGCATGAAGACTTTTCTTTGGAAAGCTCATAACACACCCCAAGGTGTGCTGGGCTGCTGACTTTTTGATTGATTGATTTATATTTCGAAGAATGTGTGCTAAATGTTGCTTCACCGTGTTTGCTTTGAACTCTGGTTCCCATTCACTGACTCGAGTCTGCAGACCTCAGAGCCATACCGGGTTTTCTTCAATCAGCATTTCTTTAGTTGTTCAGGACCCAAACCATTCGGTGGATTATAGACAAGTAGCAGAATTTCAAAATCTAGTCTTCAGCTGACTGGGAGCCAGCGTAAAAGCCTTTCGGACTGTGGTCATACGTTCTGATCTCTTCGTTCTGGTCAGAGCCCGAGCTGCAGCTTTCTGAATGAACTGCAGCTGTTTGATGCTCTTTTGAGGGAATCCAGTCAGAAGAGCGTGACAATGATTCAGTCTACTGGAGATAAAAGCATGGTGTAACTTTGCATTTTGGTGGCACCCTAAATTGATCACGATTTGCAGGACTGCAACTTCAAATTAGCTCTGAATGAAGATAAAAGTTTTGCCTCCGGTGTTGGTAAATTAGCATATCTAGCATGAACTTTGCACTCCTCATGACCCCATGCCAAGTTGGCATTGACAAAAATATGTCAAGCACTTTTCTGACGCAACGTAGGAGTGACACTCCTGCCTTCAAAAGGAAAAACACCACACACACTTCCTCACCCGCCCACCCCCAAGTCCGCTATGACAAACATTTGCTGTGCGACTCGTTTGATGCAGTCCGCTTGAATAGCGACGCCCACCCCGTCGTCATCTTTATTACAGCTGCCAAAGGAATACAGTGTTGGAATAAATGTCATTTTGTTGTGTTCTGGCTTTTAAGATCACATCCTTTTGTTAAATGAATGGTTTCGGATCAAAGTGACTGCTGCTTGTGAGAGGAGAACATCAACCCCAGGACACCACGTAAGGGACATCCCAAGCTGTGTTTTCGGACCACCGACCTCCAGCAGGAGCCATCTTGACATCTCAGGAATGAACTGTGTCTTCTCATTGAAAGTCTCCTCTACTGAAACTGTTATGAAATGTGAAAATACTCCCCATTCCGTCGAAGTTTGTGTAATTAGGGACCCCCTCAATTCTCAATAAAGAGAGGGGGCTCGGGAGGTGTACTTCAGAATGGGTTTGACATGTAACTGAGTACACCTCTCCGTTCTCCTTGAATGTAAGCATCTGGTCTTCCTTCCTTGTGTGCTGTTTATGAAATGTTCTAGGTTGATTGAATCGGTCATACAGGTCAACGCAGGAAACAGTGCCTACGTTGTGGTGGTGAGATGGTGCCAACCATGACGTTGTCGTCCATTGGAAAAAAGGTACTTTTTCAGCAAAAGTGAAGAAAACATTTAAAAACAAGGCAGGGCGTGAAAGAAAGAAGTGGCGTAGCTTCCGAAAAATGTCAACACAACACACACACACACGACATTGCGGAGCGACCACGTGTGAGGGTGTACTGGAGGAAACATTTTGGGAGAAATGTCGAGAGAAGTCATGGAGACCGGAATAAATACAAAGTCAGTTACGACGCTCTGCGGAACATTAAGTACGGATGCACACAACATTGTGGAGTGTCAACATGTTCGTCTACGATGCGCAAACTGCCCTGAAACTTGAATGTGGACGAACATAACATTGTGGCGCAACCACGTGAGAGAAAAAGGAGAAAATGAAGCCATACGTCATGAAATGAGCAAAGTGGTATAATGGTGGGGGGCGGGGGGTGGATTTATGTCAGTACCTTTCTGGAACATAACATCGATTTACGCAACATTGTGAAGAGTCTAGTCCAGTTTGTTGGCTGGTTGGGTGATGTATCAGATCTGATCTTACCTGTTTTCATTGCCAGGGAAGCCACGACGGGTTGGGTCAGGTTGAAATCTCTTGCTGTGAACTCATGCAGGACACGCTTGACTGATGCTCCAATACAAAGGCTTCAATGGCTTCTTCTTCTTCTTCTTCTGGCCTTTGCTGGTGCTGTTGGCGGTTGGGTCAGGTTGAAATCTCTTGCTGTGAACTCACTGAGGGCTGATGCAGGACACGCTTGACTGATGCTCCCATACAAAGGCTTCAATGGTTTCTTCTTCTTCTTCTTCTTCTTCTTCTGGCCTTTCCTGGTGCTGTTGGTAGGCGGGCATATGTCACATGTCAACAGCATAAAAGTATCTTTAAAAAAGAAAAAAATCCAAATATGCATTTATAGATACGGGATACACTCTATACCAACATAAATATACAGTGAACCCTCATTTATCAAGGGGGTGACGTTCCAAAAAGAAGAGCCGTGATAGGCAAAATCCGTGAAGTAGTCAGCTTTATTTTTTTACAGTTATTATACAATACTAAACTATGTATACAATGAAACCAAAGACCAAAACCTGTTTTCAGGCCCAAGCATTTAGGGAAAAAAAAAAAAAAAAAACGTTTTCAACAAATAACTATAATAGTTTTTGGAAATACAGTAAAATAATATTTTTAATAGTCATTACGAGGTTGTGACTCACGCGTATTTCACCGTGTCTTTTTCCGAGAGAAGAACATAGTTATGGGTAATTGTTGGCACTCCTTTTTCTTCTGGACAAGAAGATTTTTATAAACAGACATGCCACCTTCGATTATATTTGAGAACTGTTATGAACGGGTTCCGGCCGCACTTCCCCCAGTGCACGCCGCGCCGCCAGGGCGGGGTCCGGCCCACGTTCAGACGGGCGCCAGGGGTCCGCGGAGATGTCGGCAGCCCACCCGACCCATCTTGAAACATGGACCAAGGAGTCTCACGCGCGCACGCGGAGATGTCGGCAGCCCACCCGACCCATCTTGAAACGCGCGCGAGTCAGAGGGCCCGACGAAACCGGAGATGGGATCCTAGGCCCGTGGGGTACGATGTCCCCGGGTGCACCACCGGCCCGCCTCACCCAAGAATATTGCTGTACAGGGACGAGGTGCGGAGCCTGTTCACGTTGGTCAGTCCCTTTAGTCGGAGGGCCCGACGAAACCCGACCCGGCGCAATGAAAGTGAGGTCCGGCGGCGGCGCCGGCCGAGGTGGGATCCCGGCCCCGCGGGGTACGATGTCTCCGGGCGCACCACCGGCTCGCCTCGCCCGAGAATATTGCTGTACGGAGATGAGGTGCGGAGACTATTCACGTGCAGAAACTCGCTGGACTTTTTTTTTTTTTTTAATCTTGCATCACATCATACACCACAAAATATATTTTGTTGGTACACACTCAACGTCCACAGGTGGAGACATGAACTGAGGGTAAATGAGGACAAGTACAGGTGGTCTGTTGGCTTGTGTACAGGTGGGCAATAAGAGAAATGTACAGTTCGGTTATGTACAGGTGGATATGAGGGAAATGTAGAGGTTGGGGGGGGAAAAAAAGTGAATCGAGAACATCTCCAATTGGACATTAAGGACGGGCATGTATATGCACACAATGGAGACATATGCTGTTGTTTTTTTTTTTTCATCGATTAAAACTGGGGACTGGGGAGACGTGGACATATGGGGGACATATGAGAGGACAGTTCAGGTGCGCTGACGAGACCACACACACACACACACACACACACACACACACACCGAGAGGGCGGTCTGCTATACAAAAAGCTTCCCTCACCTCTCCCTCATCTCAGACTTGGAAGAGGACCTCCTGCAAGGCTCCATTATGGCCCGAGTGCGTTTATCCGCGAATGTTTTGTTCCTACTGGTGAGTGACTTTGAATTATTAATACGTTTGTGGCAGTCAGGAGAGGAAAGGACAGGTGCACGCAAGGAATGTATAGAGGTGTTAAAGCATTAAGCCTAGTTACAGAAACTCGCTGGACTTTTTTTTTTTTTTAATCTTGCATCACATCATACACCACAAAATATATTTTGTTGGTACACACTCAACGTCCACAGGTGGAGACATGAACTGAGGGTAAATGAGGACAAGTACAGGTGGTCTGTTGGCTTGTGTACAAGTGGGCAATAAGAGAAATGTACAGTTCGGTTATGTACAGGTGGATATGAGGGAAATGTAGAGGTTGGGGGGAAAAAAGTGAATCGAGAACATCTCCAATTGGACATTAAGGACGGGCATGTATATGCACACAATGGAGACATATGCTGTTGTTGTTTTTTTTTTCAATCGATTAAAACTGGGGACTGGGGAGACGTGGACATATGGGGGACATATGAGAGGACAGTTCAGGTGCGCTGACGAGACATCTCCTTTGCCATCTGTACATTGAACCTGGAGTGGATATAACGTACAGATGTACTGAGGGTGGAAACAGGGTACGCAGACGGGTGGGATTGTGTCGAGCTGGTCATGGCCGCACACAATGGGCGTTTTTGTGGAAAGAAGAAAGGCTAAATCTGACCGGTCTTAAATTTCACACAGACAGAGTGACAATTCATTGACTTTTTTTTTTTATGAGCCATACAATTAAAGCTAGTTTCACTGAGCAGCATGGAATTTGCTCAATGAGTAGACCTCGCGCCCCAAATAAATGAATAAATAAATACACAAACATTTTCCAGGGGTCCGTCAAAAACAAACTGGACCCACAGAATTTTTTTTTCTAAAATTCAGCCCCAGAAGCCAGGTCAAAATTTGGTCACGAGAAGACCCACAAAACAGTCTTTAAAAGCCAAGCCTGAAAAGAAACCTTGAGGCATTTGTGTGTGATGTGTACGACCCCCAAAAAAATGGATCAAGGAAATTTTAAGGAAGTCTGAAAGTTTGATCTGAAGAAAACATTTTAGAGTCATGGTGGGCATTTGTAGGGATCCTTCAAAGATGAACTCATCGCACCCAAATGCGAACGCTTTCCACACACGATGATGCTAAATTGTGAGAATTTGATCTTTCTACACACTGTCGTGAGTGGGCAGCAAAGTTTGAGGACTCATCGTAAAACACAAAACTAACTCAACCACAAAAGTTCTTTTGGGGAAAAAAATCAGCCCCTAAAGCTCTTTGGTCTTGGCAATATGAAATGTCATGAGTAGAGCTCTAAAGAAACAACACATGTCATTGAGCTAACAAGCGGCCATTTTAGGGTCAATTTACAAGTTCCGCGTCTAAGTTTAGCAATGGACGAACAAAGCTGCTAAAAATTGCTCTCAGCGAGCTCATCCCGAAATGGTTCAGTAAAATATATGTGTAAGTTGAGAGGTTCGTAGTTTTGTAGTGGATAACTCTACTTTACGAACGGCAAAAGGAGAGTTGGAATCCTTTCAAAACAAAAAGGGGGAAAAAAGACGTTTCACCACAACCCCCGAACGAACGAGAACATCCCTCTTTCCGGTAACGCAAACACTTCCAGGTTTCCTTCAGCCAATCAGACAATATCAACATAAACTTGTTTCAGCAATTATTTAACGGAATATAACCTAGGTAACTGTAACACAAAAGAATATAATGCTCAAATATAAAATGAAAATCATTAATAATTTAACATGAGCTTACATATGTGCACTGAATGGCAAACCTGCTGACGTCATGGACTTGTTTGTTGTCTATTGCGTTAGTTCCAGAGCTCACTTGTGTTGGCGTTCCACTCTGGTAATGAACCGGTGCGAAAAAGACCTTAACCAATCAGATAATATCAACATAAACGTGTTTAAAAAATTATTAAACGGAATATAACCTAGGTAACTGTAACACAAAAGAATATAATGCTCAAATATAAAATGAAAATAATTAATAATTTAACATGAGCTTACAGATGTGCACTGAATGACAAACCTGATGACGTCATGGACTTGTTCGTTGTCTATTGCGTTAGTTCCAGAGCGCACTTGTGTTGGCGTTCCACTCTGGTAATGAACCGGTGCGAAAAAGAAGAGAATGGATCCTCCCTCCAAAGCCACTCAAAGAGAATGAAGATTACACGGGAAAGGAGTCGATCGCCAAGGCAAGAGCCACTTTTGTCCAAAAGGGGGCACTCGTGGACCACGTTTCACATCCCGGCATTTCGGTTCCATTCTCTGCAACTTTTGTGTCTATTTCAGATTCGATCAGATTTCGAAACTCACCGGAACATCAGCTACTCCCTGGAGGGCATCGGTGCAAGCCAGTACCCCTTCAACGTCTTCGTGGTGGACTCCAAAACGGGACTCATTCGCGTCACCCAACTGCTCGACAGGGAGGTCATCAGTACCTACAATGTGAGCGACACGCCGCCTTCAAATCATCAACTTTTTACTATTTACCTGTATGTATATATTTGTTCTACTGAATTTTAATGACTTTGTTTTGAGAAGCATGACAATGCTTGTCCAACGGCTCATTTCATTAGGTACACCTGTACACATTTAAAAATATATATTTTTGTCGTTGTCAACAAAGATAATTCTATTTTTGATTCAGTTAAAAATAGTTTGTAAAAATCGAGGTTGTAATTTGCAATGGTGTACGACTGTACTGCATCATAGACCTAATATTTTGAACTGAAGGTGGTGTGCTGCTCAAAAAAAA